AATTTTGCATTCAGTTTATGGTAATGGCCAAATTGTACTGGTGCTCTCCTTGTCTTAGTTTTGTTTAAAATCATCTGTGCTTTGGAGGAGGCTTTATTCTTTGACATCCCTTGATGGCGTCTGCTGATTTTCACTGTTCTCTTGACCAACTTGACTTTGGATGTGGGATGAGAAGTAGCCTTCCTCTTCCTTCTTTGCTGGTTGCTTAAGGATGGAGTTTCAGTATCCCTGTTGGATGTTGGTAACTTTCTCACCATCTTTGCCACTTGATGACTGCCAGTGGTCTTACCCCAGGGCCTCCTGACTACCCTGGGCACCTCCAGAAACTGTGTAGCCACACCCTTTCCCATTGTTTCCTCATCAGCCATCCCCCCCAACCAGTGCAGCTCTGGCCTAGGAGGGGCTTGTACATCACAAAGCACCACCCTGCCTCCTGTGTGAAAGGAAGGAGAGGCCTTCCAAACTGACCTGCCATCCCTCCACATCTCCCTGTCACAATTCTAGTAGGTCACACCATAGGTGGGAGAAGGGGTTCCTCCTCCACATGTTTTCCATGGTCCTTCAATTCAGTGGCACATTCTGTTTTTTCCCATTCTTCATCATAACCTAAGTCTTACCTAAAGCCACCCATGGTAGTATGACAATATTTAAGTCATGGTAAAGATGTGATTATTCTACTTATCTCCTACAAATTTCTCTTAGCTATTTTGAAGGCCTTACTTCTTGGGATACCATCCCACTTCCTTTTCCCTGTGTCCAAGCTGTTCCTTTAGTGTTTGGTTTTCAAGATTAAAATCTCTGTCTTCAGATTCTCAAGACTTCACTGAGTAGAGTCACTACATTGTGAAGCCTCCCCTTCTGTCAGTCGGGGTCAGGCTTATCTCAGATGGTGTATATTCCAGGCTTAACTTTTAACAATGTGAGACAGATAATCATTGCCAGAAATTGTGCATCATGTGTATATGCAAGTAGCTATAACCTAAGACTATAGTGTTCACGGGGTGTTTGGGGTGGGGAGCTAGCTGCTCAACACTACTATTGTCAAGTGCAATCAGGAAAGAAAAAGATATCCAGATTGAAAAGGTAGAGTACACATCTTTTATTCCACGTAAACATTCCTACAAATCTAAAGCATGTGCTTCTAGAAATAATAAAAATCAAAATTAACAAGATTCACAAGATAAAATATCTATCAAAAATTTAACCTATTTTCTTACACTGGCCATGGCCAATTAGAAATAAAAAGCAATACAACTGAAATACAACATTAGGAAACATAAAATATATAGAGGAATAATCCTAACAAAATCTTTAGAAGACTATCTTTAGACCACAAGTTATAAAGCATTGTGGATACTTCTCTCATCTAGAGAGAAAATAATCTAGGTTGCTATAGGTTTCCTAGGCTTTTATTTTTTACTTCAAACTTTGAATTCATTTATTTATTTTGTTGTATGGGAAATGTACTTTTCCCAACAATTTTCTCAACTGAATTTAGTGAATATAATTTTCAAAATTAGATTAATTTTTAAAAACAAACTTCATATATATGTATATTAATTTTTAAAAGACACATGCATGCCATCACATCGATTCCTTGGCTTTCCATTTTTTATCCATTTATCTGTCTTATGTAAGTTTCGATCCATTAACCTATTTTATATAAGTTGTGAACATTCCTGCAGCTTTTTTGTTTTCTGTAATATCTTATAGGACCTGTCCATAAACATCTATTAAAGGAAAACATCATAATGTCACCCTTTAAGACTTTCCATAATGGTACTTCCAGACCTCACCAGTCTTACAAGGAGATTGTGTCTCCACAACAAACATCGAAAACCATTTGGCTGAGATGGCTGCTAGTGTAATTGTCTGTTAGGCTATTATCATAAAAGAATAAAAATACTCAAAATTCACAAATTACCCTTATACTTTCTGGATGTTTGACAGCATCTGGTAGACAGATATGTGCATATAAATAAATGTTCAATGCCCTTCGCATATATTCTTGGCTTATTTTCTTCTTAAATGTAAGTGCTTTTCTTATGCATTGACTTAGAAATATAACCTCAGATTCTGATGCTCTTCACTCCTCACATATTGTCTCTGTTTAGTCTTACTAGGGAAGGAAACTGAAGTTGGGGTTAGGCTGTCTTCAGCCTGTATCCTCAGTTTATGCAGAAATTGGCATTTTACCTCCAGAAGTTAGCCAGGGCAGTGGTTCAAAGGCATCATAGCTCATAATTCTGAGGGCCAACGGGAAGCTAGACATACTTATAACCTGGACTCTTCTGGGAAGATGAAATGGCTTTGGGTGGAATGAACTATTGATAGATGCAAAAACATGGGCACATTTCAAATAATGGAGCCCAAGTGAATGAAACAACCTCCAAAAAAACAGCAATGCTGTGTAATCCTACTCATATCAAATTCAGGACAATTTACAGTGACAGAAAACGAGGAGTGGTTCCCGAGGCAACAGAGTGGGGAGGGAGTGATCTCAGAGATGAATAAAGGAACTTTGATAGCTATGCACGGGTGTAATCCTAGGTACTCAGGGGCTGAGGTCTGAAGATCACGGTTCAAAGCCAGTTGGGGCAGAAAAGTACAAGAAACATCTCCAATTATTCCACAAAAAGCTGGAAGTGGAAGGATGGCTCAACAGATAGAGGAACAGCCTTGAGAGGGGAAATAAAGCCAAGTGAGAGCTCAAGGCTCTGAGTACAAACCCCAGTACTGACACATACACAGACAGATAGACAGACAGACAGACAGACAGACAGACACACACACACACACACACACACACACACACACACCCTAAAAGGGTGATGAATGTGTTTATCATCTTGATTGTAAAGTTGCATGATTTGAATGTGTGCAGTTAACTGGCCATTGAAATATAAAGTATTTCCTTATATCCACAGCAGGTGGGTTACATGCTTCTTTCTCGGAATAACAAACTCTAGGGTGCTAATTTCCCTTATATAAATGATTTGATATTTGGAAAGAACCTAGTCCTTTTCCTGTATACTTTAAATCATCCCTAGATTACTTATAATGCTTCAAATAACATAAATGCTGTGGAAATAGTTGCTATACTCTATTATTTAGGGAATTATGACAATAAAAAATTACAGATGCTTTCTTTCCAGATATTTTTACATTCATAATTGAGTGAATGTGTAGACTTAGAAGCCCAGGGTATGTTGGGAGGGGGTTGTGATACATGAGAGAGTTGTATAAATCCAGGCAAGTGGAAGGTAAAAGGCAAAGGACAGAAAGATACAGGAAAGTGCCAGAGACCAAACCAGACAAGGGAATACCCAAAGACTCAATGAAAACTACACTGTACTCAAAGTGGGGTTCAAGCTGATTAGACTGAACAGAACTCCTCAGGCTTCACGGAGCTTATAAATCTCCTAACAGTTTTATAGATTCTGACTGAGAAGAAGCCTGAGCATTAGTATTTCTCATAAGTTCCCAGGTGTTATCTATACTGCTTGTCTTTCAGGCATTCTTTGGGGAGTTGGGGACCACACTGATCTCAACTTTGGTTGCATTTGAAAAATCACTGGAGAGCTACAAACAAAATCCTCATGCCTAGGTCTCATCCCACCCCCCCAGAGATATAGATTTAACTGACCTAGGGTTCAGCCCAAATGTGTCAGCTTTTAGTTGCACCTAAGATAAATGAATTTATAGGAAGAATGGAATAGTTTGGCTGATGATTTCAGGCGTTTGAGCCTATGGTCACTTGGCCATTGTGTTGGGACCTGTGACAAGACAATGCATCATGGCAGAAGCACATAGCAGAGAAAACCTATTCACTGCATGATGGCTGGAAAGAAAAGGAAGCAAAGAATGGGCCAAGGCCCCAATATTCCCTTTCATTTCACACCCCCATAACCTAACTTCCTCCCATTAGGCCTTATTTTCTAAAGGTTCTACCACCGCCTAATAGGCCATGAGTTTAGCATCTGGGCCTTTGGAAGACGTTTAAGATCCAAATCATACTCCTTGGGAATCAGCAATCTTTAAATTTCTCCATATGCTTCAAATGTGTAGCCAGGGCTCACAACCATTAACTTGAGAGAACATGATAAAATTAATCAGGCCATGAAGGTGACAGAACCCCAATAGTAACAGGAGAGAAGGGGGATGTTCTGGACTAGATAAACATAATGAATCATGCCTCCAATCAGAGACAAGATCCATCCCAGTCCTGTTTTGCAAATTTACTTGAGTATGATTTACAGTGATAAGGAATAATGTTGAAGATGTCTTGCTGTTCTCATATCAGGCTTGGGGATATGTACTAGGAATATTTGGGAATAAGAGACTGCTGGCTAGGTAGATAGATAGGAAGTGAGGCATCCTGAAATAAAAGCTAGCAGGAATGAAGAACTCTGCAACAATGAAGTGAATCAGAGGGGCTAGTGGGCACACACACCGGTTACCAACATGTCCTCAAGAATTTCCTATGAAAAGAAGACAACCTATGGTCTCTTTCCTCTAGCCCAATGGGCCACAAAGCAGGCATAACAATGCTGCTGTCTTTCAATGTGTCCTAGATTTACTTTAAAAATCATTTTCAATTCAACTTTTTTTCTAATACTGTCAGTAGGTAGGAAATTATTTTTTGATCCATGCTGCAGATTTGCATCTGCCTCATAGAATTCTGATTAGGAAACTACCGATTCACTAGAATCATAAAATGTCTAATGAGTCATGTCAATTTAATTGTGCTGGTTAGTGATTCCACAGCCCGAGTTTGTCAGCATTTTACTGACAAATGTCATCATTTACAGACTGATCTTTGGGTGCTGATTATGTTCCCCATGACTAAAAGTATTAGGAAATGAGCTATGCCTTGTGCAATAAGTCATTTTTTTCCATTTGGTTGATTAAATTTCAGTTTAATAACATAATAAACCTGCAAGTCTGTTAAAAAAAAAGTCTGATCTAGTAATGGTCACTATATTTAAATCCTGATGCAGAGGACGCAGTGTATCTGGATGATGAGAAGGAAAGACAAGAGTATGTCCTGAATGACATTGGAGTCATTTTTTATGGAGACTTCAATAACGTGAAGAGTAGAAGTTGGAGCTATGGTCAGGTGAGCCACTCCAAATTGGTCATTGTCAAGGATTTTTATTTAATATTTTTTGTCACACATATTACTGTAGAATGCCTTGTGTCATTATTAGACAAGCACAATTTCCTGCTTTTCAGGAACTGAGACTCCAAGATAGACCATAGGAGCATAGACTTATAAAGAAAACTGCATAATTCAATAGCTGAAACCATGTATCTCCCTCTTACTGCCAATGTTGCAGAGACCAGGGGTTATATAGCAACACGGCTATCACTAAGAAATACTTCAGCATCTTGATAATGATAAAAGAATACGGGCAGATCTGCACCTTACTCAAAAAGCTTTTTAAAAGTGTTATTCTAATTAGAAAAATTACCATTTTATCAAAAGCAGTCTCATTGGCTTCAGCCTGGAATTATTGTTAGGCTATAGAGAAGCCAATGGCATTTCTTTAAGAAAGTCAATAATTCAAACTACTTTAACCATGGTGCAAATGAATGGAATCCTGCTATATTTCCATAAGTAAATGTATGGCCTGGGATTTTTTTCCCCACTAGCAACATAAGAAGAAAAAAATGTCATTTCTTTTGGGTATTTTTATGGTGCTTTGGTTAGAACTCAGGGCAGTGAGCTCACTCAGCTTGCTTGGTTACAGCCAGTGGTCTACTATGTGAGCCATTTCCCCAGCCCAGATTTTCACTAGTTAATTTGGAGACAGTATCATACACACACAAAAAGATGGTGGGCTATACACTGAACTTGGATGGGTAGTATGCAAAATCTCTGTACTTAAATAAATCTGTTAGAACAATCAGTGCAGTACAGGTAAAATCTCCCATCTTGCCATTTTACCACTATTTGGTATTTATTCTCTTTTGAAGAAAATTCTTCCATTGGCTTGTGGCCAGCAGTTGTTGCTAAAGATAACACAGTCTACGTCTCCTCAGTATTTGTGCACTCTCTGATCGGGGGTCTTGACTCAAGAGAGGGCATTCTTTAAATGAGGTCTCCTTTTATGTGGGGGTTCAAGCCCATTGCCCCTGGATTACCTTCCTGTGACACATTTGAGAGCCATGTGCACTCAGGTTACTTTTGTGTTCATATAATTTTAAATGACTTTAGTAAATAGTTTGTTTCTTCTCTCTTGGACCTGTTGGAAGGGTCTTCTAACAAACTTGCAGATCAGCTTGTGATCCTTGCGTACATCAGCTCTTTAATAGTTCTGCTTGTGTTTTTTGCTTCCTTTTCTGCTATTCTTTACTTTTCTGAAAGAAGAAAGAATTAGTATCCTTTCTTCCATTTTAATAGTTCATACTAAAGATTATACTAAGTAACTATGTATTACACATTTTTAAACATTGGATTGTGGTTTCATTTTTACCTTTCCACAGAGCAGAATGAACATAATGTAGTTTCTCATTTTTCCCCTAAATAGTTTGAAGATGGCATCCTGGATGCTTGCTTGTATGTGATGGACAGAGCACAAATGGACCTTTCTGGTAGAGGAAATCCCATCAAAGTCAGCCGGGTTGGATCTGCAATGGTAAGCAGTAACTCCTGATGACTGAAAGCTATTACACATGCTATTAGCCCCCATAGAGTATCAGTTCATTAAGAGCTGTTGAAATAGTGACTTACACTTAATAAACTTTTATTTGTTAGACTCTGGTTTATGTTACCCAGTATAGCTCTTGAAATCTCTGAGCTACTCATATTACTATCAAGCAAATTTTTCTCTCAATTCTATTTCTTCACCTTCAGACAAATGGTGATGGAAATCATCATAGTATTGAGTGCTTATATTTAAGAACCTTTTGCCTGGGGAGGGAAAAATAACCATGACAAAAACATCAATGATTATAATCAAAGGATCAATCAATCCATCAAAGATTCACAATCTAGACAAGGATTCACAATACAGCTTTTCTCCAAGTTTCCACTTATAATAAGAGTAAAGAAATAAAAATAAATAGCACTGAATAACCTGATCTCCATTGCCCAATACTTTGCAATCAGGCATTAGCATGTATGAAGTAGATATTGACTCTCCCAGCAATATAATGAAAAAATCGTCAAGGTAGTCACTACTCATACCATGACACCAGTAAGGACACAGAGTGACAAAAGTCTGTTAGTGACAAAGGCTCTACCACAACCAGGTCTGCTAACTTTTAGTCTAAGTACGTTCTACCTCTCAAGTTGATCTCTGCAAGACAGCCTGAGATATCTTCAAAAATGTAGATTCCCAAGGGGAAAAGCTGTAGAGGAGAGAGAAAATCCGAAGGTTTGAGCCAGAGGTAGGAAGTGACCTTGTGTAGTCCTGGATCATACTGATATACCCTGTCTGCATTCAGCTCTGAGTACAGAAAGGTATATCATGTCTCATTTTGGAGGAAAATATTTCTGAAGATAGAAATACTATACTAGCCTGTGTTTTATATGAAAACTGAGAAAAATTACTTGTATTATCTATGCTCTTAAAAGTTTTCTAAACAACTCTCCCTGAAAAGAACTTTTTTCTTTAGTTTGATTTATATATCTTTTGAGTTAAATATTATCAACATTGGTTACTTGCAAATATTAGTCTGATGATGATATAGCAGGTTAATTTCTGACAATCCAGTAAGCAGGATTTAAAAAAAAAAAAGAAAAATTAAGCGAAGTGAGCTGGGCGCCAATGGCTTTTGCCTCTAATCTTAGCTACTCAGGGGATTGAGATCTGAGGATAGTGATTTGAAGCCAGCTCAAGCAAGAAAGTCTAGGAGACTCTAATCTCTAATTAAGTACCAAAAAGTCAAAAGTGGAGCTATGGATCACGTGGTAGAGTGCTAGCTTTGATCAAATAGCTCAGAGATAGCACCTTGGCCCTGAGTTCAAGCTCTTGGAGCATCACACACACACACACACACACACACACACACATTAATTTAAGTAGTGTATCAGTGGTTTACATGTGTAATCTTAGCTACTCAGGAGGCTGTGATTTGAGGATTGCAGTGCAAAGCCCACTTGGGCAGCAAAGTCTATGACACTCTTCAATTAACCATTAAAAAAAAAGTGGCGCTGCAGTTCAAGTGGTTAATGCTACCTTTGCGTGAAAAGCTGAGGGATGGTGCTCAGGTCTTGAGTTCAAGCCCTACTACCAGCCACACATACATGCACACACACGCACACAGAGCTAAATGTAAATATAAACAATAGTAAACTTTAAAAAGTGAAGACAGCATGGGCAAAAGTGAGAGACCTTACCTGAAAACAAACTAAAGTAAAAAGTGGTAGAGCACTTGCATAATAAACTCAAGGTCCTGAGATCAAACCTCAGTAACACACACACACACACACACACACACACACACACACAGAGTGAAGATACATATTAACATCTAACTATAGGTTAACATGTAACTAGGTTTATCCCAGTAGTAAAGTATATTCTCAACATCCATGAGGCCTAGGTTCAATTCCCAGCAACAAAATAAAGAAATAAAGGCGGTTTTGTTTTATGTTGAGAAATTATATCATGTAATGGTAAGACAGAGTTCTAAAGTCCTTAAGAATTTTGTTATAGCCATTTATACCAAGAGTTAGAGAAATAGCCCATCCTTTCTTTTCCTCCTTGAAAGTTACCATGCCAAGCTTTGAGTAAGATGGGAAGCAATATCTGGGCGCAAGAAATTCCTTCTTAACTATTTTTAAATGGTGTGTATGTGCATACTCACTGAAATATTGTATCTTTGCAAATCCGGAAGTCACTGCCTAACACAAAACCGGTATACAAGGAAAACAAAAAGCTGACCCACTCCCATCTGCAGTGGCATCTGCCCAAGTGGAAGCTGTTAAGTATTGAATTAAACATGTGCTGCTAATGCAAATTGCCTTGAAATTTTATTAATTATAAAAAGCCCATGGAATTTTCATCTTGAAAGTGTACATCCCAATTATAAGGCTTCGAACTAGACAGAGAGACTCTGTCAGGGAAGTTAGTTGGGATGGTTTTGGGTTGGTGCTTAAGAATTTTGATTTGAAAGGGGCAGGAATCCTGCTCTGAGCAATTTCAAGCAATATGTCCATTCCACCATGGGTTGTTTACTAGAATGAAGATGCATAGTTTACAAAGATCTTTCACCCTTATAATGTCCTTTAACCTTAGAACAGCTCTGTGAGTCTTTCAAATTTTATTATGTTACTAAAATATTGAGCCTCTAAAAATCAATGAAAAGATGGTATGGTGCAAAGTGGGGATTCTCAAATGGTTTCTGATCATTCAGGCAGTACTTCTCCTGTTTTAAAGTCTTGAAATTGTGTCATGAAATTTCTGAGTGCAGATTAACAAATGAAAGAAAATACATCCACTTTCTTTTTCCCATTCATGAACTTATGTTTTCCTTATTGTTATTAAAAAGGTGCTATACAGAGGGATTACACTTACATAAGGCAGATAAAGAATACAACTTAACCAAAACTATGAGCCAAAATGATCCTTATTGTGAAAATTTTAAAAATCAGAAGGAAAAAAAGAAATTGAAGGAGATTTAAGGAAATAGACAAACCTTCCATGCTCCTGGATTGGAAGAATTAACGTGGTGAAAATGGCAATACTGCTCAAAGCAATTTACAAATTCGATGCAATACCCATTAAAATCCCAACAACATTTTTCAATGAAGTATAGAAAGCAATCCAAAAATTCATATGGAATAATAAAAGACCCCAAATAACAAAAGCAATCCTTAGCAGGAAGAACAGTGTTGGAGGAATATCAATACCAAACTTTGAACTCTATTACAAAGCCATAGTCATAAAAACAGCTTGGTACTAGCACAAGAATAGGTCTGAGCACCAATGAAACAGAATTTCTTAATGAATTTGCCTTAAAATGTGTATCTTTGGAGCACCAAAAAGAGTTGGAGCTAGGCAGTTCCAGCCAGAATTAGTATCTGCGGGGAATGTTCATACTGCGATGGATTTGTTTTCCAGGGATGACCCAGGCCTTAGGAACTGGGCCTGCTACATGGGGATTTTTCTCAGGTGCCTTCTCAGACTAATCTGTGAGGATGGAAATTTCTCTCAGAATATGACTGCTAGAAGAGGCATAAATGAGGCACGCAATTCGTCCCAGAGGAGTTACACACACATTGATTTCAGTTCATGCTATGATGAAAACCACAGCAGACAGAACTCTCCTGAGAGCAATTGCTGTGGGAAGGAGTGGGGATGAGCAGCCCATCCCTGCCTAGATACGTAAAGGAAGTACAGCTGAGTGCAGATAACCAGGATCCCAAGGAAAACTGGATTCCTGAAATCATAACCAAGTCCAGCACTAAAGGTTGACAAGGGGCTTGCAGGACACCCGCTGCACATGATGATAAAAGAGCTTAATGACTCAACTTGTACAAATAGTTTCTAAAAATAAGGAAAAACAGGAAGAGGAGGAAGTGGGGATGGGGAGGATGAGGAGGAAGGGGAAGAGGATGAAGAAGGGGAAAAGGAGGAGCAACAACTTGGATCCTAAGCTCACAACCAGCAGATAAAAATCTCTATGGCCCCACGTCTGTGACCTTGGACAGCTTTGTTGTCTCAGCATGATGGGATGTTCACACATCCCCAGGGATGTCAGTAGCACAGTCAAACCAACTGTGACATCCCAACATGTCTCTAGTTGTTACCAAGTGTCCCATCTACCCTTCTAGTAAGAAGCAGAACACCAAAGTCCTCTATAGTCCTATGGGAGAGAAGTAGCACTCTTTTCTCGGCTTCATAGAGAATAAACCACCTTAATTCCTCCAAATCCTGCCCCATTTTATCATCTGCTGAAGAGGAAGTGGTGACAGCATCAAAAAGCTGGGCCTTGGCTCAGATCAAGAGATGAGGCCTAAGTTCTGCTTCACCTGCCAATTCACTGTGTGACTGGGGACAAAACACACAGCTCTCAAGAGCACTTCTTCATCTTTAAAATGAAACCTTGTCTCTCCACTCCAACCACATTTGTCATTCCCATTGGTAGCAACAATATACTTTTTTCTGTTTTATAACCATGTTCTCTTTCCTTCTTTTTTTTCATTTTATAAATTCAGATCTCCTCCAGTTATTTGGGATTGCTGTTATTTTGCTTTGAAAGTAGGAAATGCTGGTGGCAGTTTGGGCAGCCTACAATTCTTAGAAAATCCAGAGAAAGAATAACCAAAAATCTTACAATCCTCTTGTCTGGAGATTGAACCTGTGATGTTATAACCTCACACTGGTCAAATTCTGTTTCCACTCTACTAAATGGTACACCTTACCAAAACTATACCAGAGATTCATTTAAGAAGGAAAAGAAGGGGGTGGGAAGGTGGCTCAGTGGTAGAGCGTTTGCCTTGCATGCATGAGGTCCTGGGTTCGATTCCTCAGCACCACATAAGCAAAAAGAAAAAAAGCTGGAAATGGCGCTGTGGCTCAAGTGGTAGAGCGCTAGCCTTGAGCTGAAGAGCTGAGGGATAGCACCCAGGCCCAGAGTTCAGGCCCCATGACTGGACCAGAAAAAAAAAAGAAGAAGTTGAGGGTCA